TGCTGGGTACATTTAAAATGTAATAAATGAATGAGACAAGCACTTCATTTTCAAGCAGCTCACATTCTAGAATAGGCTGTGAGGCGGACTCTGGAGGTCCCTGTTCTGGTGTCAGCTGAGGTAGAGGGTGGACTCTGTCCTGCAGAGTACACGCATGGTCATCATGGATGGGGAAATAAAATAAGTCATCCAAGACACTTTCCTTGGTCTTCTAGAGGAGGGGGGTGGCACTTCCCTCTAGTGAGGAAGGCCCCAGAGCCCTTCCCTTGAACTGGCTTTTATTGAAAACCATATGCTCAAGGGTACACAGCATGGATGTAAAGCTCATCAATCAGTGTCAAAAGGCTATGTTTACAGAAAACAAATAGAGATCATACATAACAATTGAAGGAACACAAGAGATTTGCCTAAGGTCAGGGCGGTGCTTATTCAGCCCTGAAACCCTGGAAACGAATCACATTCTATGCTCATCAGTACTCATTAACTCTTAGCAAAATAAGTTTCATAGGATTAAATGCATTTATTCTCCAGGCTTAATTGTCTCTGGGAACCACCTGATCCAGTTTAGGGCTGTATCTGCCTCTAGTATTGTTTTAAGCCTGAGCCAGGTGGGCGGGGCAGTGTAGCCAAGAGATAAGGAGACTTCTCTCAGATAGAAGGAGGACTCTGGCCATGACAAAGCTGAAGGGTGAGGGTCTTTTTCCCCTTTTTCCGTGTCCTCCAAGTCCTTCCCTGATGGCCCCTAAGGGACTGTGCCTGCCTCAGGTTGCTCCTGCCATTGAGGGGTCTTACCCGTCATTGACTAACCAGCCATCCCCTGGGGCCAAGCAGGGTGATGTGAGGAAGGCAGGGGCTCAGCTCCTGCCAGGGGGACAGGTTTTGTTTCCTCAGTGGCCTATTTCCCCAAAGCCTCCTTGCTTAGCCCCAGCCTCGGGGCCTTATCGCTTGTCGGTGTGGCTGCAGTCCCTGAAACCAGGTAGGATGGTTCCCAACAAAGTTGCATACATAGTAGTACGATAAGGGCAAGATGACTTAAGAGGAACAGCCTAGCCAGAGACCCCCTCCCAGGTTAACTGTTAATCATTGCTTATCTGTTTCTGTAGCCCGTTTCACATCCCTTCCCCCGCCTGGGTAGCACATCAATCTCCCACTGGAATGCTAATCCCTTCCCCCACCTGGGAAGCCCATCCGTTTCCCGTCGGAATGCTAGGGCTTATAAACCCCTATCTAACCCCGATTCGCGGCTCAGAATTTGAAGACTGCCTCCTCTGAGCCCGCGCGTGTGAATAAAGGCTTACTCCGTTCCCTGAATCGTGTCTTGAGTCTGGCTTTCCATAACAGTAGACAATGAATAACTGTACAACAATGCTGTTACTATTCATTTGTTTATTCATCAAGCACTTACTAAGCACTGCTCTAGGCCCTGGGTATACATCACCAAACAGGACAAAGTCATTGCTCTCCTGAAGCAGATCTTCTAGTGGAGGCAACTAAACAATGAACAAGAAATGTATAGAATAATGACTGTGTAGTTTAACAGAGAAAAATAACAGAAAAAAGATAAAGGATAGAGGGTTATAGTGTGTGTGTGTTGTTTTAGGTAGGCTGACCAGAGCAGGCCTCTTTGAGTCAGTGATGTTGAGCAGAGACCTGAATTAAGTGAGAGAGAGAGTCAAGGGGATGCACGGGTGACAAGAGGGCCTGACAGAGGAATAGTGGCATCTACTGTAATATTACATTCCTGAGGTTGATAAAGACCTTTGGGACTCTAAATAATGGGACAAATAAAGCTGGTGCTTTGTGATTTTAGGTACATAATTCTATGACACCATAAAATTATTTTTTATTTAAATACCCAAAGGCCTGGCTGTGAAAGACATTTGCATTTTAAAATGACTGAATATTTCAAAATGATAAGGAATCAGTGCTTGGAATCTCCCTCCTTGTCTGTCTTGTGTGCACATGCATGTGCACACACGTGCATGCATTGTGAAAGCTCCTGGGCATGGGATGAACATGAGGGAGTGTCGTGTGATTGCCCTTCTCTGTCCTTTCTACTTTTTCTCCCATTAGGATTCCTCATTCTGTCAGTGTCATTATTTATGAAAACAGTTTGATTAAATCAATGGACTAATTAGTACATAAACTCTAGAGCATTTTCAACCAATTTAGAGCTTTTAAAAGAAGCATTTAATAAGAATATTTTTAGTAAGCCAATGAAAAGCATCTCTAGCTTTGAAATTTCAGGGAGAGTGACAAGGCACATGAACTTTTTCTGGCATCAGAAACTTTTGGGCAAATGGAACAAAATAGCAACATGTTGGTCCTTAATGCGCACTCTCACTTTTGTAGTGCAGGTGTGTGCATGTGTGTGCGTGAGAAAGAAGTAGAGAGAGAGATGAAAAACTGAAGACACAGCCCTTATAGTTCTCACCTCAAACAAAGCAATCTCTGAGCAGGGATGGAGGTAGCAGATATTGCAGGATAAGTACAAGTGGATGGTACCAAACCTAGTCTCTAGTAGTGCCCATGTGGGAGGGACTAGAATGCTGGGAAGATCAGATAAGGCTCTGGGGAGGGTGCATGTGATCTGGTTCTTTAAGGACAGGTTGGAAAGTGAGGGGATGAAGGGAAAGATGGCCTAGGAGTAGACAATGGCCTGAGCCAAGGTGCCATGTGGAATGTGCGGTTGATGTTTAAGTAATGGAGGGGTGTCCTGATGGACTAGTGCAGAGAGTTGGCTCAGAGACTGTAGGGATAACTGGAAAGACCAATGAAAAGCCAAGAAGAAAAAGAAAGCTCTGAGCTTTCCTTCTTTTGAAAATTGTTTTCCGACTCAATTTATCAGGTTATAGGGAGAATCATCCCTTGATCCCCTATTGGCCTTTTATTAGTGGGACAACCATAGATCCCAAGATGCTCCATGTAAACAAAAACTTTATCTACTAAGAGCTGCACTTTTATTTTTAGCATGTAAGCTCCCTGTAAAAAATTTAAGCGCACGGACGTGTGAGAACCAATGTAACATTCCCCCAGGGCCCATCAGCCCCTCCACCTTCATCCCATTCCTTAGAGGTAACTACTGTTAATTATTTCTTCTTGGTTAACCTTCCTGTCAACAATCTTTCAGTCAATGAATACTTACTGAATGCCTATTATGGACACTGGGGACACAACAGTGAACAAGTGTTCCTTTCAAGGAGCTTATAGTTTAAGGACAAGAAGTACTAAACAGCAAGCATATTTAAAATATTTTTACCAAGTGGGATATTTCTATACCCATTCTTCTGCAATTTCTCTTTTCACTTGACAGTATACCTTGGACATCTTTCCAAATCAGTCTGAAGGGCCCTACTTCTTTCACTGATAATAGTTAATATTTATTGAGCCTCTACTGTGGGCCAGGCCCAGTCTTAGTCACAGTAACCCTCTGTGGTAAATACTGTAATTATCACCTTTTTATAGATGAGGAATTGAGGCCCAGAGAGGATTGGGAACTTGCTCAGAGCCACTTTATTGGCACTGGATAGAGCCAGAGATGAGCCCAGAGGGTTTGATTCTTCACTCCAGTTCTCCTTCCTCTTGGTGGCTTCATAGCTCTCCTCTTTACAGGTGTGCCTTACCTTATTTAGCCAGTCCCCTATATGGAAGCCATTTTTAATTGTTTGCTATCACAGACAGTGTTATAATTAACTTTTTTACAGATAGGTTTGCATGTTTGTGGTCATCTGTAAGGTAAATTCCTAGGAGATGGAAATGCACATTTCTATATATACAGGCACTACTTAGTTTCTTTTGAAAAATATTTTACCACTTTCTACTCCCACTAACAGTGTAGAAGAAGATACTGATTTCCTTATATCTTCATCAACAAAGGGAATTACCAAACTTAAAATAGTTGCCAATATGATAAATAAAAAAAAATACTATAGAAACTATACCTAATTTTTTTTTTAAATTTAAGAGTTTTTCATTTTAAATATTTTAAAGAAACAATTGTTTCATTATATAGGCCTTTCTTGGTTCTTTATGTCATCCAAGGAGGAAAGTTATCATTCTTGTTTCATGAATTTGCAGTTTCTTATGACTGTGAAGTCTTGGTAGGGAAAAGCCCTCCTTTCTCTGTGACCTGGTCCTGAGGAAAACTGAGGGCTCAGTACCAGAATGTTCTAGAAGAGTGGAGTTGACAAAGCACAGGGGATCATCTTGCTCTGGTGATACAGACATGATTAAAACATATTTGGTTTCAGTACTTAACTGCAAATCTGATGCAACTTCTGGAAAATCCATAAATGGCTTTAGACAAGTTTACAAGGAGCCATAATCCTTTCATTTAAGAATAGTCACGAAGCAATGTATTTTGTGTTCATTTAATCCCATCTTAAAAACCAGAACTGTCAAAGCAATTCTGAACTAAAAAGTTAAATCCACTTCCTACGTGCATTTGTTCTTTGGTATCCTCAGGGTTAATTGCTTGCTTCCTCTGAGCTGAAGTTAAGGATGTTGGGAAACAAGTGGTGTCTTTGCTCTGATTATTAAATGTTGCTAGAGTGAGCTTAGCTTTCATCCATAAGAGAGTTGAACTTGCCTTGGAATCATTAGAAAAACACACAAAGAAACTATTGCCGATTCCTTCATGTCTGGGAAAAACAGGTGGGAGCTCCAAAGATGCTTGCTTATCTCCCTCAGCCAAGGGCTGATAAAAGTTTGGTAAGCAGAAGTGGTAGCTGGTCACTCTTTTCGTTGTCCTCGTCCATCCTTCTGAACTCTTGGTTCCCACAGAGGAAGCCACCCTGCTGAAACCAGCCTCTAGGGAGCTTCCTTTTGTTTCTCCAAGATTAACCAGTTCTGCCCTGGCGGCAGCAGCAGGCAACTACCGAAGCAAAGACTCTTCTGGGCTTTTGGTACTTTTCCAAGGAGCGTTTTCTCCACCAATTCTTCCCTGGTAGTGAAACTGCTTTCCTACAACGTGTTCCTTTTTTCTCTGATGAGGTGCTGATTCTGATCTGCCACTTAGCAGCTTCCGGTAGTGGTAAGTGGTCAAGAGTGTTTTTCCCGGAGGTGATCTTAGGTTTTCAAGAATGTGCCCTGGCGACCCAGCTTGTTTTCTATGTAATTACTAGAGCTTTTGGAATAGCCTTGTTTTTCTCACTGATATGGTCATGGAATGAGTACCTGTTTGATCTTCTTGCACAGCTGGGAAACCTCCCCTTTGCGGGAGAGAGTTAGGTCCAGGCTGAGGTGAGTCGGTGGGGAGCTTTCAAGGGTTGGTGAGACTAACAGGAGTGTTAGCTTTGTGCTCTTCGGGGCTTTCTTTTTCTCTTTTCCAGTTGCTGTTTTATCTTCCGTGTGGTCGAGGCGTAGCAAATAATTTTTGTTATTATCTTATTAAAAAATAATTTTGGGAGAAAGTTAGTTGGGTTTGGGAAACAGGACATTTTCTTTTTTTTTTCCTTTGAAGTCAAATTTTTTTTTTTTGTCCTGTTATCAGCACCTATTAAATGATATTGGGTGTACTATTATTGTCTGCTTTTTCTTGATTTGTGGGTATTTGTCGCTTCCTTTGGTAGAAGTTGGCTTTAGGTTTTTTTTTAGGGGTTTGTATCTAGCGCACCTCTTCAAGGTGTTTTTTTATTCTGTGGTCAATTCATGCTTTGGACATAAACAGTTTGCCACCAAGCTCTCCCTGTGAGGCTTGAAGGGATAAGTTTTCAGTTCTGAGGTTGGTATGACCAGAAAAAATAGATTCTTCTGGCCGTTTTGTTGATATACATGAGGGAATCTCAGGTCCCCGGTTAACAATTAGCTGTTTTGAAGAAAAGTAAAACAGACAAGAAACATTAATTGGGAGCTGACGTATTAGAAAAAAGGCGAGGAAATAGAGTATCTATTGCGTGTGTGAGCCCGACACCTGTGCCCGCGGACTGCCACCTTTGTTCAGGTGTTGCTCCATTTAGTAGCTTTTCTGCAAAATATAAATTCAGAGAATTTTTAATTTATATGTATTTATCTTGTGCTTTTGTATTGTTTTATCATGCATGCATCAGTAAAAAGAAGGGGCCAAGTAATTTCTTGCACCTCTGGCAGATTTATTTATTCTTTTTGCACAGGAGGATTTGATTTTGTTTTTATGTGGTAAATGAAGAATTTTCATTTAGACTTAATGTATCATTTCAAAGGAAACTGGAAAACTGTACCTCTCCTTGAAATAAAACTTATTTTTTAAAATTTATTTTTATTGTTTTCTCTTTATTAATGTATGCATTCTAGATACTTGCATGGCATGTACAAGAATTAGATGTTCATTTTATTTTTTCTTCAGGATTTCTCAAGAAAAATCATAGAAAACAGTAATCTCCAATTGTTACACATTGGTATAGCACATGCCTAAAGTCTAACTTAACTTCCTAGCAATATTACACAATTTTAAAGTATTAACAAATACATTTCTGAGTGTAAATATTAAATATTATTGATGAGTGTATTTTTAGAAACTCATTCCCTGCTTAATTGGAGGCTCCCTTTCTTTCTTCTCTCCTTTTCTTTACTCAGCTCAGGGCGCTGAGCACCTGCCTGTTGCCAGGCTCGGGCTGGCGCGGGAGGGTGGCCCCGCCTTCAGGAAAGCCGCAGCATTCCATTGCAGTGCATCCTTCTGACCCTTCTTTTGAGGTTGAGTGTCTTCTAGGACTCTGTCCTTGTCCTTTTATTGACTCATCCTCCCTTTCTGTCCTCTCCTCACTTCTCTTTATTCTTGTTCTTCCTGGGTGAGGTCATTCATGCCCCATGACTTCAACACATCCTTATATGGTGATTCCAAGTCTGCAAATCTGTGTTTTCTTTTTAGTGCAGAGAATATTTTTAATGATCAAGAGGTATTTCAAGCCTAGTGTTTTGAAAATGAACTTATTTTCCCACCCTAGTTCCTGCACCTGCTCTTACAGCTTCCCCTCCAGAAAGTTCTCCTTCATGGCTGTATTTATCATCTTAGATAATGGCACCTCTGTCTCCTCATTGCCCCAAGTGGAAAACCTGAAAGTCACCCCAGATTTCTTCTTTTTCTGTACCTTAACATATGGGCAGGGCCATTTATAAACTCTTGTCAATTCAATTGCAGAAACATTGCTAGAATCCAGCTCTACTTGCCTGTCGTCCTTGCTCCCTCATCTCTTTCCATGCCAATCCACGCTATGAGAGTAACCTTCCTAGAACCTCTGACAGCATGCACTTGCATAGGGAGACACAAGGGAGCAAAAACACTGGGCAAGGGGCTGCATTTTAATCGTATATTCTATGAGAGACCTCTTCTGCCTTCCTGTTACCTGCAGGATCAACGATAGGCTCTTGATCATAGTGATGCTTTGGGTCACCTCATTTATCAAGTGGGGATGATGGTAGTCCCTGCCCATGGAGTTTGGGTGAGGATGAAATTGGGATGACCCATGTCAAGTGCTTAGCATGAGGTCAAGAACCCACGGGATGATAGTGACGATGACAATGATGAAGATGATAGCTTCCTTCAGAACCCATCTCTCATCTTTTCTGCCAGCCCCATATCACACCACATTTCTCCACGCTCCTTGCAATCTGGTTGCCATGATTTTCACGGCTCCCCAAACCTCTTCTCTTTTACAACACTTGATCTTTTGCACGTTGCTCCTTTTACCTGTCTTTACTACATTTTATTGAGCAAACTCTTCTTTTTCTTTCAAAAGGATTCTTTTTTTTTCTTTTCAACTTGGAATCACCATCCGTGAAGTGTTAGCTGACTCTGCCAAGCAAGCTGGTGACTCCCTTCCCTCTGACTCCACAGTTCTCAGTTCCTCCTTTTATCGTAGCCCTGTGCTTGCCATTCTAGTGATTCTCCCATGTATTTGTCTGTCTGGTCTTCCCTAGACTATGGGCTTTTGAAGGACAGAGATGAGGCCTAATCCTCCTTACCTCCCTCTACCCAGCCCAGGTTTCCCATAGAACAGGCACCTGATAAGTGTTTGATGATGAAACATCTGTAGAGATGGCTCTCAAATTTGATAAGGGGTTTTCTACTTGTAGAGAGTTAAAAATGCACTTAATAACAAGAGCTTTCTTTTTTGAGCATTAACTTTGTAGCAGGAGGTGCTGTGCTAATTTCTTTACAAGCGTGACCTGATTTAGGCTGCCGGCTGATCCTCTGAATTGTCCTAGTTGTCCATGTTTATGGTTGAAGGTTTAGGAGGCAGGGGAACTTGGTAGAGGTTGTAGGACCAGCAAGACCAAGCCTAGCCCTCTGGCTCTAGCGTCTGTGAATGAATGGGGAAGTGAGAAGAGGAAGGAAGATGACCAAGTCAGGGGAGGCATGTCTGGGAGAGAAAGGCAGCATGAGGTAGAGGGTGAAAATATACAAGGGAGGCAGGGAGAGCAGGCTAGGACAGGAGGAGAGAGGAAAGAGAAAAGGAAATTAGGAGACTAAGTTGGAAAATGAGCAGGGGATAAACAAGGGGAGGAAGGGAAGCAGAGTTCCCACTGTTTTAGAATTTTGTGGCTGGGTAACAGCTGCATGCCTAACAGAATATAAACAGACTTCAGTGTTGACATGACAACTCACAACAAAATCAATCTGATATATATTATATGAGAAATAGAATAATTTATTGTTGAGGCATGGTAGTGAGATATAATTGCCAAGCCATTTATAAATTTGGCTGTACTAACCTTCACTTTTATAAACATATATATACACACACAGACTGGCTTAAATTTTTTATTTCTATTTTTGCCCAATGTCTAAAATCTGTGAGCACTATGGCTCTTGGCAGCTGTCATGGACACCACATATGATTAAAACATTATCTACACTTTCCACCTTTGCATCACACTCAAAGCTGCTCAGTTGCAGGACAGGCCTGGGCTGATTCCTTATCTCTCTGGACTCACCTTCCAAGTCTGAGATTCCCCGGCCCCACCAATCTCCCTCCCCTGGGGTCGTAGAGTTGCTTCAGCACCCTCCTCCCTCGGAGGCCTGGCCCTGGAGAACCTGGGGAATATTCTTGGGCTGGCAGGTATGTGCCAGTAGATATGGCTGCAAAGTCACAGTGTTTAGGGGTGGGAGGGCTCAATGAGGCTTTGCTTTTCAGCCTCTGGGCACCTGTGACCAGCAGGAGGAGAGGGCAGGGGCGGGATGAGAGGAGATGGAGGGCTTCCTGAGGAGAGAAGAAGCTGGTTCCCTAATCCTGCGGGGGCAGCTTCTCATCCTCAGATCCCACGATTGCTCAAACAGATGGGCTTTTCAAGGGTCACCTAAGCTCACGCTGGTGCTGGCCTCCCAGGAAGCCCCCTCTTTTCTACTTTTGGTCCTCAGAGAGGTATGTTGGGTTGGAAAGCAAGTGCTGTAGTGATGAAGGGAAATTAGGGGCATGGGGAAAGGAAACCGGGAGACTGGGAGAGGGGAAAATGTAGGGAGTAGGAAAGACAGACTGCAGAGGAGGAAAGAAGGGGAGGGAACACTTTTAGGGAGTGAACTGCATATACATGTGTATTTAAACGCACAACACCTCTAGGAGGAAGGTGTTATTATCTCTATTTTACAGATCCAGAGATCGAGTCTTAGGAATGGAAAGTGACTTGGCTGAAAGAACACTAGATAGAAAGTAACTGGGCTGGGATTAGAATCCTGTTATCATAAAAGTCTCTCCTGTGTCATACAATGTCTCCAGAGGGGAAGAGAACACAGAGTCTGGGGAAGAGAAAGGCAAGCAGAACGTAACAGGGACTGGAGAATAGAACGAGAGGAGGTCAGAGGGTTCTCTTCTGAGGTGAGGTCTGGGGTTGAGCTCGTTGAAGCTGGATGGGTCCTTTCCACCTTGGTCCGTCTTGGCCCTGAGTCCTGAGACCTGGAGAGAACCCACGACTCAAATGAAGTACAGTTTTCCTCCCAGGGGGGACACTTCAGTTCTTCTCCCGACCCTACGATGAAGCCAGGCAGGGAGGCGCTCACTTGCTTACTTGTACAGAGAGAGCTGGCAGGAGCCTGCCCCATGCTACTCTCTGTCTTGGCTC